TCACTTTATTTTTCTTATAAATGTAAAAACTTTGCACATTTGAAGAGTTGCATCACCAGCACAAAACTTTGCACATTTGAAGAGTTGCATCACCAAGATTGCAGAGTACAAGATCCCCAGCATCACTCCCATCAATAAGAACACAACTAGCAATGATTAAAGCACAGAATTGTCATGGTGAATTCACTATAACTAGAGAGAAAAAGTGGAGATGCCCGCTGAGACTGAAAGTGAGAAAAGGTGTGATGGACAGGAGGTCCATCCACTTCCCCAAGCCAGTATTGTGTAGCTCAGAGAGAAGCTTCCCAGAGCCTGCTGAGGAGAAAATGGCTACAACTTCTGGGGGGAAAAAACGTCCTTTCAAAATGCTCCTTCCTATCCTCCATGCTGGTGTAATGCTGTTTACAAAGTTCCTCAGCTCTTGCACAAGTGGGAGTGACATTGAATGGTAGGAAAAAAGAATCACTTTGGACCCACTCCATCCTCTTTTCTAGGCTGGTATGTTCACAGAGGATGTCACTAGACCTGCAGTCCCAAAGGTGAGAGGAGTAAGTCGAAGGTGGGTGTTTGATTTGCTCAGTGATCTGGGAGCCTTCACAGAAGATACATCCAGGACCTGACCCACAGGAAATATTTGGAGTGCTGGACAGTCTAATCCACTAGGGATACATTGAGATGTAATTTTAGCAGCGGATCTGCATTTGAATCAGCAAAGTGCCAAAAGGAGAGAACTGGTTGGCATCATAGAACTGTAGTGGACACGATATGCAGAAAAAACTCAGTTGTGGGCCAGATTTTTTACACAGCCCAGTTGCTTCTGTGGAGTCTTCCATTGATCCAGCAGTGACTAAAAGGCCAACAATTAAATTCTGATCCACTCAATAAGCCTTTTTCAGACTGGGAAACAATGGTGAGGCAGAGATGGATTTCAGGCCCAGTGTTCTAGTTCTGATTCTTGCAATAAGTTTTCTCCAAACCAGGAAACAATGTCTGGACAGCAGGTTAGTTCTGGGTGCAATGTCTAAGTGGTGGTTCTCAGTATAAATGTTTTCCAGAATGCGAAATGACTGAGGACCAGAGATAAAGTTCTGATATTAAGCAATGCAGGTCTAACACCACAAAAGGACATCTGCAAAAGCTGGAGGTGGTAACTATCTTCTCAAATGTGCAGGTATCAATATAAAGACATAAAGATTGTGAAAGAAAAGAACAACAGCTGTATCAAAAGGCGGTTGGAGATAATTGGGTGGGGGACATGGGGTACAAATGCAGTTTGTGGTAATGGGTATACTGCCAGTATGAATCTGGCCCTCACATCATGGGCACAAAGGGTAAAAATTAGCTATGTATCTCATGAATATTTATAACCAATAAAAAGTAAAATACTATAAAATAACATGATGATTGATTTTTTAAAAATCTATAGAAATGGAGTCAGAAGAACGGCAAATTTATAAATGCATGACAGAGAATTCAGAATAACCCTCTTACATAAATTCAGGGAGTCACAAAAAAACACTAATAGAAAATTAAATTCTATTTGAAATGTAATCCAAGAACAGAGTGAGAAACCAAAGAAATAAAATCAATTTGAAATCAAGTAGAAATTCTGGAAACAAAAAATACACTATCTAAATAGAAAAACTCAATAGAAAACTTCAATATCAGACTTGATAAAACAAGGGAAGAACCAGTGAACTTGACAACAGAACATACAAAATTACACAATCAGAGGAACAAAATGAGAAAAAAAAAAGAAAAGAAAAAGAAAAAATTAAGAATTAAGTTGGCCTAAGGGAATTTTGGGACCCCATCAAGTAAAACAACCTATGCATAATAGGAGTACCATAAGGAAATAAGGGAGAAAAAGTCATAGAAAGCATATTTAGGGAAATAATGGCTGAAAAATTCTCAAGTATGGAGAAAGACAACAACATTCAGATATAGGAAACTTGAAAGTCACCAATCAAATTTAATCCAAAAAGGAATTCCCCAAGGCACATAATCAAATTATCAAAATATAAATAAACAAGCAAACAAACAAATAAATAAATAAATACTGAAAGCAGCAAGGTAAAGAAACATAACATTCATTGGAGCCTCAATTTAACTTTGCAGGTTTCTCAGCAGAACTCTACAGGCTGGGAGAAAGTGGGATAATATATTCAAAGTTTTGAAGGAATAAGGCTATTAGTCAAGAATACTGTATTCACTAAAACTAAACTTCAAATATGAAGGATTGATAAAAACTTTTCTCGTCAAACAAAAGCTGGGGAAATTTATCAACACTATACCTCCATTATAAGAAATGCTAAAAAGAATTTTTCAGTTTGAAAGAGAATATGAAAGTGGATCAAGAAAATATCTGAAGGCATACAACTCACTAACAAAGTGTACAAATTCAGAATACTGTAATATAAATTTGGAATGCTGTAAGTGTGATGAGTAAGCCATTTATATCTTTAGTGTAGAGACTAAAAGACAAATCTATTAAAGATAAAAATACAATTGTATAAGAGATAGGTGATCTAAAAAGATTTAACTTGAAACCATAAATTGTCAAAAAGTGGAAAGGAATTATGTCAAAATGTAGAGTCTG